TACATGAAGCCGTACAAGCGTTTGAATTTGTTTATGAATAAAATTACACTCTTGTTTTCTGTATCTATCATACAAACATAAGCAGCACCTGTTTTTGTAAAGTTTATATGAAGTTTTCGATAGTTAAGACCTGTATAATAATAGAATGCGTCCTCATTCTCAACATAGTAGTAGAACTCAAACGAATGCTTACCATAATCTGTTATTTCAACAGCTTCGTCAGATATTTCATCAACGAACTCATAAACTATATCGCATACTTGCTTTTATTTCTATTGTTTTCAGATCTAGAACACCAACGAAGGTTTGAGATTCTGTTGTCCGTTCTATCATGATTTATATGGTCTATTTCTTTCAAATTGTTTGGATTTTCAATCCACTGTTCTGCAATAATTCTATGCTTTAAATGTATTTTGTTGTTTAAACTAAGCACAATATAACCATAATTATTTAAGTATTCACTCATAATATGTTTGTCTTTCTTTCGACGAATAGTAAAAGGATATGTCGTACAAATCTCATAATCTTCATGATTTCTCAATGTTTCCCATTGAGTTTGTTCCCCACTAACGTTCTCATTGACGTCCTCAATATCTTCTTCCTCACTGAACTCGTCAATATTTTCACTAGCTCCTTCTGTAATGTTTTCATCGGCATTGTCATTGACTTCTTCTGTAATGTTAGATGTTGTTGTTTCGCTCATGTTCTTTCACTAATGTTAAAAAGTTATGTTGTACGAATTTTGAACAGAATTTAGAGCAGTTATGAAACAATGAAGTATTTTTACGCTATTGAAAGGAACTATGAGAGTGAAGTACATGACAGCAATGACAAAAGGAACTAATATCAAACCTAATGAAATCGCTCACGAGGACATAGAGCTTAACAAGTATTTTGTGGAGTATCTTATAAGTGAAGAGTATGTAAGACCTTACTTCATGTTTGACAGCATGAATGAGGATGTTATTTCATGGTTAAAGAATATAAGCAATGTTTTCGGTAAGTACGTCATAGATGACAAAGGTCTTGTTGTATTTTATGAGACAGCAATACGAACACAGGAACTAATGGATATTATGCACTCAACAGCAAAGAAAGGATTTAGTACTATTGGCATGAATGAACATTGCAGGAATGACATATACAACCTATGCTCACGAAAGCCTTACACAAAAGCAATACAAATGATAGAACATAAGTGTCTAAGTCAGCAAATGAAATCATTACTGTCAGTGGTTATGAAAGAACTGTTAGCAAAGATGAGTGGAAACAGCTATTCATATTAAGGAAGGACGTTGCTGAACTAGTTAAACCTGTTGCACAAACATTGTTTCAGATAAGACCAGCAATGACTAAGAACCCTTTGACCTTACTCAATGAGACCATAGAGGTTGAAGATAATGACATGAAAGAACTAGGAATGAATGAGAGAAGTTGTGAAGGATGTTTGAGTCAAAACACATGGTTCTTCAGAGCTGTTAAAAAACTTAGTAAAGAACGACAGAAATATTTTATAGAGAAGTATTGCAAAGGATGTGTAAATGAATTGCTTGAAATAGAACTTAGAGACACTTTCACACTAAAGGACTTGAGAAGAAATAAGTACATGAGTGAAGAAGGTATTGACATAGCTAGTGTTATAAATGACTTAAGAAGATGTGTTGTCGTTATTGACGGAGCACGTATGACATATCTAGTGAAAGATTATGATGGAATACGAGACACAACAACACTTGTGTCAGTAGATAGCAAGGAATTCAATAAGCTCATGAAGAGTGTTTATGTAGGACGTATTGAAGAGAAGGATGTGAACGCACTGATGATTTATGAAGCGGGTCAGAACAAGAACTATCTTATGAAGTCAGGCATGAGATTCTTTGACGAAAGAGATGACATTTACAGCTATTTCAGAGGATATGAGTATGAGGTACTGAATGAAGTAGATGAAAGCGTTATTGAAGGATATTTGAAACATGTTCACGATGTCATATGTAATGAGGATGAAGAGCTTTATGAGTATGTTTTGAACTGGTTCGCCTACATCGTTCAAAATCCTTGTGGAAAGACTGGAACAGTACTTTTGTTAACAGGAAAGCAAGGAACTGGTAAGAATGTACTTAGTAATGTTCTATGCGAGCTCATTAGCAAGTACGCCAACAATAATATAACGGCAATAGAGAATGTGGTTGGTAGATTCAATGCTGCTATTGAGAACATGAAGCTCATCGTATGCAATGAACTAAGCTCATGCGATACGTCTAAGGTCATGAACCACGACGCACTAAAGTCAATAGTAACAGAGACTCAGTTGGACTTAAATCAGAAGTGTCAGCCAGTAAGAAAGATAGAGAATGTTTGTAATATCATCATGATATCTAACAACTTCAACTCAGTAAAGATTGACAAAGACGACAGAAGATTTGTTGTCATTGACGTAAGCAGCAGATACAAAGGAAATTACGAATATTTCTCAAATCTCATTGAAAGCTTTAATGAAGAGTTTTATTCAAACTTACTGACGTACTTCATGAAGAAAGATTTAAGTGAATTTGATGTAAGGAAGATACCATTCACCAGGGCTAAACAAGAACTCATCGAAATGAACAAAACACCTTACCAAATGTTTTACGAGGAGTTCTATGAAAAGTTTGTATCCGGATGGAATTGTACAGAGTGCTACAGAAGATATAAAGAATTTGCGAAGGAGAATGAATTCTTTGCATGTAGTTCAAATGTATTTGGTGGCAAGATGAGAGAATTTGTGAAGAGAAGTAGAAAGCGAGACGGTTCTGCAAGAAGTTATATTTACGAAGCAAGTATGATATTAGAAGGTCGTGGAAAGAAAGAAACAGTGAATTATGAGGAAGTGCTTGAAAAATTCATGGAGTACATGGGAAGCAATATAACATACAACAAAGACATATACAGTGAGTTTAAGTACTACTGTGAACAGCATGAGATTGAAGTAATGAGTAAAGGAGACTTTGAAACGCTTATGAAAGACAGTAAGGAGGTCGTTCATGAGAACAGTGTTGAAATAGTTCATGAGAACAGTGAGGAGGTCATACATGAATGCAATGATGAAATAGTTCACGATGTCGTTCGTGAAGAAGCCATTGCAACAAAGAATGTTATAAAGGATTTCATAGAACTTAACAAGGAGGAGTTTAAAGAAGGCTATGAAGTGAAAAGATGTGAAGAAGATTTCTTGGCGTATTTGAAGAAAAAGAGACTAAAGCCAATGGCTCAAAATAAGTTTCAATCGATGTTTGAAAAGAAACGTTTGAGCTATGGTGGTGTAAGAAGCACATATTACTTTGTTAAGAAGTGAGGACATTTATTTTTGTCGTTAGTGTTGGAGTTTGTGTTTGTTGTTAGTGTTTGTCATTTGTGCTGAGGTTAGTACTTGAGTTAGTGTTGGAGTTTGTGTTTGTTGTTAGTGTTTGTCATTTGTGCTGAGGTTAGTACTTGAGTTAGTGTTGGAGTTTGTGTTTGTTGTTAGTGTTTGTCATTTGTGCTGAGGTTAGTACTTGAGTTAGTGTTGGAGTTTGTGTTTGTTGTTAGTGAGAGAATAAATTAAATCATGAACTTTGCCATGTTCTCTGTCCCTAGTAGTTTTCATTAAGTTCTGGAAATAATGAAAGTCATAAACTTTGCCATGGTCTCTGTCCCTAGTAGTTTTCATTATCTCACAGAGTTAATGAAAGTCATACTTTCTATCAGATGAAGCATGCAGATGAACATAACGAAAGTTAGTGAGTTTGCCACGAGTTATGAATAAAATATTGGAATATTAGATGAGATAGCTGATGAAACAGATGAAGATAAATTAAATCTTGGACTTTGCCACACTCTGTCCCTAGTTCCTCAAAAATCCTTGACAACGTTGCTTAGAAATTTTGGTTCAAAACCTCATCTGATTTTAATCTGTTATGCTACCTGTTAAGTTTCGCGAGATTATAAATGTCATGGAGTTATATAAAAAGGATGGACAGCTAGGGACACTGGAAGTACTTGTAAGGCTATCTGTTAAGATTGCATGAAATACTAAAAAGTCATGAAATCCATTATTGCTGTGCTAGCTTCACCTTAGAGTAAAATGACGACTAAAGTCACTGAAGCAATGAAACAAAAGTTTTTGGTAGAATACATTAAATCAGGAACTATTCCAGAAGGTTTTTACATTCATACTATGAAGGATGGTAGAGTTCAGTTTAGAAAGATAAAGCAACCATTAGATAAAGAAGGAATTTTGAGAAAGATTAAACTTCATGAGGACAACATTGCTAAACTTAGGAAGAAGTTAGAAGAGTTGGAGAAAGGAAGAGAGTTATAAAGCAATGAATTCAACAGGGTGAAAAAACAGGTGAAAAAAGAGGTGAGATCTCACCACTTCACCTAAATTTATTTTTGTGCTATGTTTTCATACGTGTGAGGGTGGTGATATCATTAATTTTTAAGTTTATTTTTTATTTTATTTTTTTTTATATAAATGACGAAAACTATTGAGATAACAAACTACAACGGTCATGAGTTCAAGAATTTGTTCTTCGTTCCTCGTGAAAATACATTCTATCAGATACGAGGGAGAAAGGGTAAAGTTAGTTTGAGCGTTTATGACTACAAGCATAATGGAAAGTTTATACAAGCAATAGATACAAACGGTAAGCGTGTTTCATTAGCTTTGTCAAAACTTACTAACATTTATTTTGACAGTGATTTTGACTCTGACGATTGGAGTGACAGCAGCGATACTGAAGAATATGAACTATTGTGTGAAGCACAGCAATGGAAGGAGTTGCAATACTTTTGTAAGTGAGAACATTAGTGGGAACGTTTATTTTTTACAGTAGTGAAGTGAAGTGGTTGGTGGTTTTGTAAATATTTAAGGTTAAGGTAGTGTTGTCGTTTGTGTTGTAAAATATACGTTAACGGTTTTGTAAAGTATCGAATTCACATATAATGGGTATGGAGGCGCGCAGTGCCACCGTACCCATGATATGTTTACTAACTTCCTCTCTTCATCAAGATGCTTCTTCACTCCATCATGCATCCATCATGCAGCTTCCTCTCTTCATCAAGGTGCTTCCTCTCTTCATCAAGATGCTTCCTCTCTTCATCAAGATGCTTCCTCACTCCATCAAGATGCTTCCTCACTCCATCATGCATCCATCATGCAGCTTCCTCTCTTCAACAAAGTGATTCCTCTCTTCTTCAAAGTACTTCCTCTCTTCATCAAAGTACTTCCTCTCTTGCTCAAGATGCAGCTTCCTCTCTTCAACAAAGTGCTTCCTCTCTTCATCAAGATGCTTCCTCTCTTGATCAAGATGCTTCCTCTCTTGATCAAGGTGCTTCCTCTCTTCATCAAGATGCTTCCTCTCTTGATCAAGATGCTTCCTCTCTTCATCAAGGTGCTTCCTCTCTTCATCAAGATGCTTCCTCTCTTCATCAAGATGCTTCCTCTCTTCATCAAAGTACTTCCTCTCTTGCTCAAGATGCTTCCTCTCTTCATCAAGGTGCTTCCTCTCTTCATCAAGATGCTTCCTCTCTTCTTCAAAGTACTTCCTCTCTTCAACAAAGTACTTCCTCTCTTCATCAAGGTGCTTCCTCTCTTCATCAAGGTGCTTCCTCTCTTCATCAAGATGCTTCCTCACTCCATCATGCATCCATCATGCAGCTTCCTCTCTTCATCAAGTTGCTTCCTCTCTTCAACAAAGTACTTCCTCTCTTGATCAAGGTGCTTCCTCTCTTCTTCAAAGTACTTCCTCTCTTCATCAAGGTGCTTCCTCTCTTGATCAAGATGCTTCCTCTCTTCAACAAAGTGCTTCCTCTCTTCATCAAGATGCTTCCTCTCTTGATCAAGATGCTTCCTCTCTTGATCAAGATGCTTCCTCTCTTCAACAAAGTGCTTCCTCTCTTGATCAAGATGCTTCCTCTCTTCAACAAAGTGCTTCCTCTCTTCTTCAAAGTACTTCCTCTCTTCATCAAGGTGCTTCCTCTCTTCATCAAAGTGCTTCCTCTCTTCATCAAGATGCTTCCTCTCTTCAACAAAGTGCTTCCTCTCTTCTTCAAAGTGCTTCCTCTCTTCAACAAAGTACTTCCTCTCTTCATTAAGATGCTTCCTCTCTTCAACAAAGTGCTTCCTCTCTTCATCATGCAGCTTCCTCTCTTCTTCAAAGTACTTCCTCTCTTCATCAAGGTGCTTCCTCTCTTGATCAAGATGCTTCCTCTCTTCTTCAAAGTACTTCCTCTCTTGATCAAGGTGCTTCCTCTCTTCTTCAAAGTACTTCCTCTCTTCATCAAGGTGCTTCCTCTCTTGATCAAGATGCTTCCTCTCTTCAACAAAGTGCTTCCTCTCTTCATCAAGATGCTTCCTCTCTTGATCAAGATGCTTCCTCTCTTGATCAAGATGCTTCCTCTCTTCAACAAAGTGCTTCCTCTCTTGATCAAGATGCTTCCTCTCTTCAACAAAGTGCTTCCTCTCTTCTTCAAAGTACTTCCTCTCTTCATCAAGGTGCTTCCTCTCTTCATCAAAGTGCTTCCTCTCTTCATCAAGATGCTTCCTCTCTTCAACAAAGTGCTTCCTCTCTTCATTAAGATGCTTCCTCTCTTCAACAAAGTACTTCCTCTCTTCATTAAGATGCTTCCTCTCTTCAACAAAGTGCTTCCTCTCTTCATCATGCAGCTTCCTCTCTTCTTCAAAGTACTTCCTCTCTTCATCAAGGTGCTTCCTCTCTTGATCAAGATGCTTCCTCTCTTCTTCATAGTACTTCCTCTCTTCAACAAAGTACTTCCTCTCTTCATCAAGGTGCTTCCTCTCTTCATCAAGATGCTTCCTCTCTTCATCAAGATGCTTCCTCACTCCATCATGCATCCATCATGCAGCTTCCTCTCTTCATCAAAGTGCTTCCTCTCTTCATCAAGGTGCTTCCTCTCTTCATCAAGATGCTTCCTCTCTTCTTCAAAGTACTTCCTCTCTTCAACAAAGTACTTCCTCTCTTCATCAAGGTGCTTCCTCTCTTCATCAAGGTGCTTCCTCTCTTCATCAACATGCTTCCTCACTCCATCATGCATCCATCATGCAGCTTCCTCTCTTCATCAAGTTGCTTCCTCTCTTCAACAAAATACTTCCTCTCTTGATCAAGGTGCTTCCTCTCTTCTTCAAAGTACTTCCTCTCTTCATCAAGGTGCTTCCTCTCTTCATCAAAGTGCTTCCTCTCTTCATCAAGATGCTTCCTCTCTTCAACAAAGTGCTTCCTCTCTTCATCAAGATGCTTCCTCTCTTCTTCAAAGTACTTCCTCTCTTCATCAAGATGCTTCCTCTCTTCAACAAAGTACTTCCTCTCTTCATCAAGTGCTTCCTCTCTTCATCAAGATGCTTCCTCTTCTTCAAAGTACTTCCTCTCTTCATCAAAGATGCTTCCTCTCTTGATCAAGATGCTTCCTCTCTTCATCAAGGTGCTTCCTCTCTTCATCAAGGTGCTTCCTCACTCCATCATGCATCCATCATGCAGCTTCCTCTCTTCATCAAGGTGCTTCCTCTCTTCGTCAAAGTACTTCCTCTCTTGCTCAAGATGCAGCTTCCTCTCTTCATCATGCAGCTTCCTCTCTTCAACAAAGTACTTCCTCTCTTCATTAAGATGCTTCCTCTCTTCAACAAAGTGCTTCCTCTCTTCATCAAGATGCTTCCTCTCTTCAACAAAGTGCTTCCTCTCTTCATCAAGGTGCTTCCTCTCTTCATCAAGATGCTTCCTCTCTTCTTCAAAGTACTTCCTCTCTTCAACAAAGTACTTCCTCTCTTCATCAAGGTGCTTCCTCTCTTCATCAAGATGCTTCCTCACTCCATCAAGATGCTTCCTCACTCCATCATGCATCCATCATGCAGCTTCCTCTCTTCTTCAAAGTACTTCCTCTCTTCATCAAAGTACTTCCTCTCTTGCTCAAGATGCAGCTTCCTCTCTTCTTCAAAGTACTTCCTCTCTTCATCAAGGTGCTTCCTCTCTTCATCAAAGTGCTTCCTCTCTTCATCAAGGTGCTTCCTCTCTTCATCAAGATGCTTCCTCTCTTCTTCAAAGTACTTCCTCTCTTCAACAAAGTACTTCCTCTCTTCATCAAGGTGCTTCCTCTCTTCATCAAGGTGCTTCCTCTCTTCATCAAGATGCTTCCTCACTCCATCATGCATCCATCATGCAGCTTCCTCTCTTCATCAAGTTGCTTCCTCTCTTCAACAAAATACTTCCTCTCTTGATCAAGGTGCTTCCTCTCTTCTTCAAAGTACTTCCTCTCTTCATCAAGGTGCTTCCTCTCTTGATCAAGATGCTTCCTCTCTTCAACAAAGTGCTTCCTCTCTTCTTCAAAGTGCTTTCCTTCTTCAAAGTACTTCCTCTCTTCATCAAGGTGCTTCCTCTCTTCTTCAAAGTGCTTCCTCTCTTCATCACGATGCTTCCTCTCTTCAACAAAGTACTTCCTCTCTTCATCAAGATGCTTCCTCTCTTCAACAAAGTACTTCCTCACTCCATCATGCATCCATCATGCAGCTTCCTCTCTTCTTCAAAGTACTTCCTCTCTTCATCAAGGTGCTTCCTCTCTTCATCAAGGTGCTTCCGCTCTTCATCAAGATGCTTCCTCTCTTCTTCAAAGTACTTCCTCTCTTCATCAAAGTACTTCCTCTCTTGCTCAAGATGCAGCTTCCTCTCTTCAACAAAGTGCTTCCTCTCTTCATCAAGATGCTTCCTCTCTTGATCAAGATGCTTCCTCTCTTGATCAAGATGCTTCCTCTCTTCAACAAAGTGCTTCCTCTCTTGATCAAGATGCTTCCTCTCTTCATCAAGGTGCTTCCTCTCTTCATCAAGATGCTTCCTCTCTTGATCAAGATGCTTCCTCTCTTCATCAAGGTGCTTCCTCTCTTCATCAAGATGCTTCCTCTCTTCATCAAGATGCTTCCTCTCTTCATCAAAGTACTTCCTCTCTTGCTCAAGATGCAGCTTCCTCTCTTCAACAAAGTGCTTCCTCTCTTCATCATACAGCTTCCTCTCTTCATCAAAGTGCTTCCTCTCTTCATCAAGGTGCTTCCTCTCTTCATCAAGATGCTTCCTCTCTTCTTCAAAGTACTTCCTCTCTTCAACAAAGTACTTCCTCTCTTCATCAAGGTGCTTCCTCTCTTCATCAAGGTGCTTCCTCTCTTCATCAAGATGCTTCCTCACTCCATCATGCATCCATCATGCAGCTTCCTCTCTTCATCAAGTTGCTTCCTCTCTTCAACAAAATACTTCCTCTCTTGATCAAGGTGCTTCCTCTCTTCTTCAAAGTACTTCCTCTCTTCATCAAGGTGCTTCCTCTCTTCATCAAAGTGCTTCCTCTCTTCATCAAGATGCTTCCTCTCTTCAACAAAGTGCTTCCTCTCTTCATCAAGATGCTTCCTCTCTTCAACAAAGTACTTCCTCTCTTGATCAAGGTGCTTCCTCTCTTCAACAAAGTGCTTCCTCTCTTCTTCAAAGTGCTTCCTCTCTTCAACAAAGTGCTTCCTCTCTTCATCAAGATGCTTCCTCTCTTCATCAAGATGCTTCCTCTCTTCATCAAGGTGCTTCCTCTCTTCATCAAGATGCTTCCTCTCTTCATCAAGGTGCTTCCTCTCTTCATCAAGGTGCTTCCTCTCTTCATCAAGATGCTTCCTCACTCCATCATGCATCCATCATGCAGCTTCCTCTCTTCATCAAAGTGCTTCCTCTCTTCATCAAGGTGCTTCCTCTCTTGATCAAGGTGCTTCCTCTCTTCTTCAAAGTACTTCCTCTCTTCAACAAAGTACTTCCTCTCTTCATCAAGGTGCTTCCTCTCTTCATCAAGGTGCTTCCTCTCTTCATCAAGATGCTTCCTCACTCCATCATGCATCCATCATGCAGCTTCCTCTCTTCATCAAGTTGCTTCCTCTCTTCAACAAAATACTTCCTCTCTTGATCAAGGTGCTTCCTCTCTTCTTCAAAGTACTTCCTCTCTTCATCAAGGTGCTTCCTCTCTTCATCAAAGTGCTTCCTCTCTTCATCAAGATGCTTCCTCTCTTCAACAAAGTGCTTCCTCTCTTCATCAAGATGCTTCCTCTCTTCAACAAAGTACTTCCTCTCTTCATCAAGATGCTTCCTCTCTTCAACAAAGTACTTCCTCTCTTCATCAAGGTGCTTCCTCTCTTCATCAAGATGCTTCCTCTCTTCTTCAAAGTACTTCCTCTCTTCATCAAGATGCTTCCTCTCTTGATCAAGATGCTTCCTCTCTTCATCAAGGTGCTTCCTCTCTTCATCAAGGTGCTTCCTCACTCCATCATGCATCCATCATGCAGCTTCCTCTCTTCATCAAGGTGCTTCCTCTCTTCGTCAAAGTACTTCCTCTCTTGCTCAAGATGCAGCTTCCTCTCTTCATCATGCAGCTTCCTCTCTTCAACAAAGTACTTCCTCTCTTGCTCAAGATGCAGCTTCCTCTCTTCAACAAAGTACTTCCTCTCTTCATCAAGATGCTTCCTCTCTTCAACAAAGTACTTCCTCTCTTCATCAAGGTGCTTCCTCTCTTCATCAAGATGCTTCCTCTCTTCTTCAAAGTACTTCCTCTCTTCATCAAGATGCTTCCTCTCTTGATCAAGATGCTTCCTCTCTTCATCAAGGTGCTTCCTCTCTTCATCAAGGTGCTTCCTCACTCCATCATGCATCCATCATGCAGCTTCCTCTCTTCATCAAGGTGCTTCCTCTCTTCGTCAAAGTACTTCCTCTCTTGCTCAAGATGCAGCTTCCTCTCTTCATCATGCAGCTTCCTCTCTTCAACAAAGTACTTCCTCTCTTGCTCAAGATGCAGCTTCCTCTCTTCAACAAAGTACTTCCTCTCTTCATCAAGATGCTTCCTCTCTTCAACAAAGTACTTCCTCTCTTCATCAAAGTGCTTCCTCTCTTCTTCAAAGTACTTCCTCTCTTCATCAAGATGCTTCCTCTCTTCAACAAAGTACTTCCTCTCTTCATTAAGATGCTTCCTCTCTTCAACAAAGTGCTTCCTCTCTTCATCAAGGTGCTTCCTCTCTTCTTCAAAGTACTTCCTCTCTTCTTCAAAGTACTTCCTCTCTTCATCAAGGTGCTTCCTCTCTTGATCAAGATGCTTCCTCTCTTCATCAAGGTGCTTCCTCTCTTCATCAAGGTGCTTCCTCTCTTCATCAAGATGCTTCCTCTCTTCAACAAAGTGCTTCCTCTCTTCATCAAGATGCTTCCTCTCTTCAACAAAGTACTTCCTCTCTTCATCAAGATGCTTCCTCTCTTCATCAAAGTACTTCCTCTCTTCATTAAGATGCTTCCTCTCTTCAACAAAGTGCTTCCTCTCTTCATCAAGATGCTTCCTCTCTTCAACAAAGTGCTTCCTCTCTTCATCAAGGTGCTTCCTCTCTTCATCAAGATGCTTCCTCTCTTCTTCAAAGTACTTCCTCTCTTCAACAAAGTACTTCCTCTCTTCATCAAGGTGCTTCCTCTCTTCATCAAGGTGCTTCCTCACTCCATCAAGATGCTTCCTCACTCCATCATGCATCCATCATGCAGCTTCCTCTCTTCTTCAAAGTACTTCCTCTCTTCATCAAAGTACTTCCTCTCTTGCTCAAGATGCAGCTTCCTCTCTTCAACAAGGTGCTTCCTCTCTTCATCATACAGCTTCCTCTCTTCAACAAAGTGCTTCCTCTCTTCATCAAGGTGCTTCCTCTCTTCATCAAGATGCTTCCTCTCTTCTTCAAAGTACTTCCTCTCTTCAACAAAGTACTTCCTCTCTTCATCAAGGTGCTTCCTCTCTTCATCAAGGTGCTTCCTCTCTTCATCAAGATGCTTCCTCACTCCATCATGCATCCATCATGCAGCTTCCTCTCTTCATCAAGTTGCTTCCTCTCTTCAACAAAATACTTCCTCTCTTGATCAAGGTGCTTCCTCTCTTCTTCCAAAGTACTTCCTCTCTTCATCAAGGTGCTTCCTCTCTTCTTCAAAGTACTTCCTCTCTTCATCAAGGTGCTTCCTCTCTTGATCAAGGTGCTTCCTCTTTCTTCAAAGTACTTTTCTTCATCAAGGTGCTTCCTCTCTTCTTCAAAGTACTTCCTCTCTTCATCAAGGTGCTTCCTCTCTTGATCAAGATGCTTCCTCTCTTCAACAAAGTGCTTCCTCTCTTCTTCAAAGTGCTTCCTCTCTTCTTCAAAGTACTTCCTCTCTTCAACAAAGTGCTTCCTCTCTTCATCAAGATGCTTCCTCTCTTCATCAAGGTGCTTCCTCTCTTCTTCAAAGTACTTCCTCTCTTCATCAAGATGCTTCCTCTCTTGATCAAGATGCTTCCTCTCTTCATCAAGGTGCTTCCTCTCTTCGTCAAAGTACTTCCTCTCTTGCTCAAGATGCAGCTTCCTCTCTTCATCATGCAGCTTCCTCTCTTCAACAAAGTACTTCCTCTCTTGCTCAAGATGCAGCTTCCTCTCTTCAACAAAGTACTTCCTCTCTTCATCAAGATGCTTCCTCTCTTCAACAAAGTACTTCCTCTCTTCATCAAAGTGCTTCCTCTCTTCTTCAAAGTACTTCCTCTCTTCATCAAGATGCTTCCTCTCTTCAACAAAGTACTTCCTCTCTTCATTAAGATGCTTCCTCTCTTCAACAAAGTGCTTCCTCTCTTCATCAAGGTGCTTCCTCTCTTCTTCAAAGTACTTCCTCTCTTGATCAAGATGCTTCCTCTCTTCAACAAAGTGCTTCCTCTCTTCTTCAAAGTGCTTCCTCTCTTCTTCAAAGTACTTCCTCTCTTCATCAAGGTGCTTCCTCTCTTGATCAAGATGCTTCCTCTCTTCATCAAGGTGCTTCCTCTCTTCATCAAGGTGCTTCCTCTCTTCATCAAGATGCTTCCTCTCTTCAACAAAGTGCTTCCTCTCTTCATCAAGATGCTTCCTCTCTTCAACAAAGTACTTCCTCTCTTCATCAAGATGCTTCCTCTCTTCAACAAAGTACTTCCTCTCTTCATTAAGATGCTTCCTCTCTTCAACAAAGTGCTTCCTCTCTTCATCAAGATGCTTCCTCTCTTCAACAAAGTGCTTCCTCTCTTCATCAAGGTGCTTCCTCTCTTCATCAAGATGCTTCCTCTCTTCTTCAAAGTACTTCCTCTCTTCAACAAAGTACTTCCTCTCTTCATCAAGGTGCTTCCTCTCTTCATCAAGATGCTTCCTCACTCCATCAAGATGCTTCCTCACTCCATCATGCATCCATCATGCAGCTTCCTCTCTTCTTCAAAGTACTTCTCTCTTTCATCAAAGTACTTCCTCTCTTGCTCAAGATGCAGCTTCCTCTCTTCAACAAGGTGCTTCCTCTCTTATCATACAGCTTCCTCTCTTCAACAAAGTGCTTCCTCTCTTCATCAAGGTGCTTCCTCTCTTCATCAAGATGCTTCCTCTCTTCTTCAAAGTACTTCCTCTCTTCAACAAAGTACTTCCTCTCTTCATCAAGATGCTTCCTCTCTTCATCAAGGTGCTTCCTCTCTTCATCAAGATGCTTCCTCACTCCATCATGCATCCATCATGCAGCTTCCTCTCTTCATCAAGTTGCTTCCTCTCTTCAACAAAATACTTCCTCTCTTGATCAAGGTGCTTCCTCTCTTCTTCAAAGTACTTCCTCTCTTCATCAAGGTGCTTCCTCTCTTCTTCAAAGTACTTCCTCTCTTCATCAAGGTGCTTCCTCTCTTGATCAAGATGCTTCCTCTCTTCAACAAAGTGCTTCCTCTCTTCTTCAAAGTGCTTCCTCTCTTCTTCAAAGTACTTCCTCTCTTCAACAAAGTGCTTCCTCTCTTCATCAAGATGCTTCCTCTCTTCATCAAGGTGCTTCCTCTCTTCATCAAGGTGCTTCCTCTCTTCATCAAGATGCTTCCTCACTCCATCATGCATCCATCATGCAGCTTCCTCTCTTCATCAAAGTGCTTCCTCTCTTCATCAAGGTGCTTCCTCTCTTCATCAAGGTGCTTCCTCTCTTCTTCAAAGTACTTCCTCTCTTCATCAAGTGCTTCCTCTCTTGATCAAGATGCTTCCTCTCTTCAACAAAGTGCTTCCTCTCTTCTTCAAAGTGCTTCCTCTCTTCTTCAAAGTACTTCCTCTCTTCAACAAGTGCTTCCCTCTTCATCAAGATGCTTTCCTCTCTTCATCAAGGTGCTTCCTCTCTTCATCAAGGTGCTTCCTCTCTTCATCAAGATGCTTCTCACTCCATCATGCATCCATCATGCAGCTTCCTCTCTTCATCAAAGTGCTTCCTCTCTTCATCAAGGTGCTTCCTCTCTTCATCAAGAGCTTCCTCTCTTCTTCAAAGTACTTCCTCTCTTCAACAAAGTACTTCCTCTCTTCATCAAGGTGCTTCCTCTCTTCAACAAAGTACTTCCTCTCTACCATAGATGCTTCCTCTCTTCTTCAAAGTACTTCCTCTCTTCAAATCAAAGTGATGCTTCCTCTTTCAACAAAATACTTTTCTCTCTTGATTCAAGGTGTTCCTTCTTTCTTCAAAGTGCTTCCTCTCTTCATCAAGGTGCTTCCTCTCTTCTTCAAGTACTTCCTCTCTTCAACAAAGTACTTCCTCTCTTACATCAAGGTGCTTCCTCTTCTTCTTTCAAAGTGCTTCCTCTCTTCTTCAAAGTACTTTCCCTCTCTTCATCAAGTGCTTCCTCTCTTCATCAAGATGCTTATCTTCTTAAATCAAGATGCTTCCTCTCTTCTTCTCAAAGTACTTTTCTTCTCTTCAACAAAGTACTCCTCTCTCCTCAATTAAGATGCTTCCTCTCTTCAAGCAAAGAGTGCTTCCTCTCTTCATCAAGATGCTTCCTCTCTTTCATACAAAGTACTTCCTCTCTTCAAATCAAGGTGACTTCTCTCTTTCATCAAGATGCTTCCTCTCTTCTTCAAACAGTACTTCTCCTCTTCTTCATCAAAGTACTTCCTCTCTTCATCAAGGTGCTTCCTCTCTTGATCAAGATGCTTCCTCTCTTCTTCAAAGTACTTCCTCTCTTCAACAAAGTACTTCCTCTCTTCATCAAGGTGCTTCCTCTCTTCATCAAGGTGCTTTCCTTCACTCACATGCTTCCTCACTCCATAATGCATCCATCATGGCAGCTTCCTCTCTTCTTCAAAGTTACTTCCTCTCTTCATCAAAGTACTTCCTCTCTTGCTCAAGATGCAAGCTTCCTCTCTTTCAAAAGGTGCTTCCTCTTCTTCATCATACCGCTTCCTCTCTTCAACAAAGTGCTTCTCTCCTTCATCAAGGTGCTTCCTCTTTCTTCATCAAGATGCTTCCTTCTCTTCTTCAAAGTATTTCTCTCTTACCAAAGTACTTCCTCTTCTTCATCAGGTGCCATTCTCTCTCTCATCAAGATGCTTCCTCCTCTTCATCAAGATGCTTCCTCTCTTTCAACAAAGTGCTTCCCTCTCTTCATCAAGATGCTTCCCTCTCTTCAACAAGTACTTCCCTCTTTCATCAAGATGCTTCCTCTCTTCATTAAGCCTGCTTCATCTCATTCAAACAGTGCTTCCTCTCTTCATCAAGATGCTTCCTCTCCTTCAACAAAGTACTTCCTCTCTTTCATCAAGGTGCTTCCTCCTTCTTCAAAGTACTTCCTCTTCTTCAACAAGTCTTCTCTCTCATCAAGTGTTTCCTCTCTTCATCAAGGTCTTCCTCTCTTCATCAAGTGCTTCCTTCTCTTCTTGCTATCAAGTACTTCCTCTCTTTCAACAACAGTATTCCTCTCTTCATCAAGGTGCCTTCCTCTCTTCATCAAGATGCTTCCTCACTCCATCAGAGATGCTTCCTCACTCCATCATGCATCCATCATGCAGCTTCCTCTCTTCTTCAAAGTACTTCTCTCTCCATCAAAGTACTTCCTCTCCTTGCTCAAGATGCAGCTTCCTCCTCTTTCACAAAGGTGCTTCCTCTCTTCATCATACAGCTTCCTCTCTTCAACAAAGTGCTTCCTCTCTTCCATCAAGGTGCTTCCTCTCTTCATCAAGATGAGTTCCTCTCTTTTTTCAAAGTACTTCCTCTCTTCAACAAAGTACTTCCTCTCTTCCATCAAGATGCTTCCTCTCTTCATCAAGATGCTTCCTCTCTTTCATCAAGATGCTTCCTCACTCCATCAAGATGCTTTCCTCACTCCATCTGCATCCATCATGCAGCTTCCTCTCTTCTTCAAAGCTTCCTCTCTTCAACAAAGTACTTCCTCTCTTCATCAAGGTGCTTCCTCCTCCTTCATAAAGGTGCTCCTCTCTTCATCAAGATGCTTCCTCTCTTCAACAAAGTGCTTCCTCTCTTCATGCAAAGATGCTTCCTCTCTTCAACAAAAGTTATTCCTCTCTTCATCAAGATGCTTCCTCTCTTCAACAAAGTACTTCTCTCTTCATAAGATGCTCCTTCTCTTCAACATGCTTCCTCTCTTCAACAAAGTACTTCCTCTCTTCAACAAAGGCTTCCTCTCTTCATCAAGGTGACTTCCTCTCTTCATCAAGTGCTTCTCTCTTTTCAAGTGCCTTCCTCTCTTCATCAAGATGCTTCCTCTCTCAACAAAGTACTTCCTCTCTTCTCAGATGCTTCCTCTCTTCTCAAGATGCTTCCTCTCTTCTTTCAAAAGTACTTCCTCTCTTCAATCAAGAATGCTTCCTCTCTTCAACAAAGTACTTCCTCTCTTCATTAAGATGCTTTCCTCTCTTCTAACAAAGTGCTTCCTCTCTTCATCAAGATGCTTTCCTCTCTTCAACAAAGTGCTTCCTCTCTTCAATCAAGGTGCTTCCTCTCTTCATCAAAGATGCTTCCTCTCTTCTTCAAAAGTACTTCCTTCTTCAACAAAGTACTTCCTCTCTTCATCAAGGTGCTTCCTCTCTTCATCAAGATGCTTCCCTCATCCATCTCCTCCATCATCATATGCCTATCATGCAGCTTCCTCTCTTCTTCAAAGTACTTCCTCTTAATCAAAGTATTCTTTCTTGCTCAGATGCAGCTTCCTCTCTTCAAACAAGGTGCTTCCTCTCTTCATCAAGATGCCTTCCTCTCTTCAATCAAAGTGTTCCTCTCTTCATCAAGGTGCTTCCTCTCTTCATCAAGATGCTTCCTCTCTTCTTCAAAGTACTTCCTCTCTTCAACAAAGTACTTCCTCTCTCATTAAGATGCTTCCTCTCTTCAACAATGTGCTTTCCTCTCTTCCATCAAGATGCTTCCTCTCTTCTAACAAAGTGCTTCTCTCTTCATCAGTGCTTCTCTCTTCTATCCAAGATGCTTTCCTCTCTTCTTCAAAGTACTTCCCTCTCTTCAACAAAGTATTCCTCTCTTCATCAAGGTCTTCCTCTCTTCATCAAGGTGCTTCCTCTCTTCATCAAAGATGCTTCCTCTCTTCAACAAAGTGCTTCCTCTCTTAATCAAGATGCTTCTCTCTTCAACAAAGTACTTCCTTCTCTTCATCAAGTGCTTCCTCTCTTCAACAAAGTACTTCCTCTCTTCATCAAGATGCTTCCCTCTCTTCATTAAGATGCTTCCTCTCTTCCAACAAAGTGCTTCCTTCTTTCATCAAGATGCTTCCCTCTCTTCAAACAAAGTACTTCCTCTCTTCAATTTCAAGGTGCTTCCTCTCATCATCAAGATGCTTTCTCTCTTCTTCTTCAAGTACTTCCTCTCTTCATCAAAGTGCTTCCTCTCTTCATCAGGTGCTTCCTCTCTTCTCAAGATGCTTCCTCTCTTCTTCAAAGTACTTCCTCTCTTCAACCAAAGTACTTCCTCTCTTCATCAAGGTGCTTCCTCTCTTCATCCAAGGTGCTTCCTCACTCCATCAAGATCTTCTCACTCCATCATGCATCATCATGCAGCTTCTCTCTTCTATCAAAGTACTTCCTATCTTCATCAAAGTACTTCCTCTCTTGCTCAAGATGCAGCTTCCTCTTCTTCAACAAGGTGCTTCCTCTCTTCATCAATACAGCTTCCTTCTTCAACAAAGTGCTTTCCTCTCTTCATCAAGGTGCTTCCTCTCTTCATTCAAGTGCTTCCCTCTCTTCTTACAAGTACTTCCTCTCTTCAACCACAAGTACTTCCTCTTTTCATTAAGATGCCTTCCTCTCTTCAACAAAGTGCTTCCTCTCTTCATCAAGATGCTTCCTCTCTTTCAACAAAGTGCTTCCTCCTCTTCATCAAGGTGCTTCCTCTCTTCATCAAGAATGCTTCCTCTCTTCTTCAAAGTACTTCCTTCTTCAACAAAGTAACTTCCTCTCTTCATGCAAGGTGCTTCCTCTCTTCATCAAGGTGCTTTCTTCTTTCAAATCAAGATGCTTCCTCTCTTCAACAAAGTGCTTCCTCTCTTCATCAAGATGCTTCTCTCTTCAACAAAGTACTTCCTCTCTTCATCAAGATGCTTCCTCTCTTTCAACAAAGTACTTCTCTCTTCATTAAGATGCTTCCTCTCTTCAACAGTGCTTCCTCTCTCTTCAATCAGATGGCTTCCTCTCTTCAAACAA